CGTCGGTTCCGGCGGGGGTGGTGGTCGTGGAGGTCACGACTGACTGTTCGGCTGCATCTGATGGTGAGAACCCTGTGCTAGATGCCACCGGGGAAAACCGTCCACTGCTCATACTGCTCATTGGCGGCAAACCATACAGCGCCCTGTTCGATACAGGGGCACAGGTATCGGTTGTGGGCCGCCGGATCACGCAAGATTTCCGAGCTCGAGTGCAAAGAACCCCTGGCGCGGTGAACGGTTTCTCGGGCACATCAGTCAGCATGCTAGGGAAGCTGCGGCTGGTGATCGAGATTGACACGGTAGTCCGGTCGATTGAGGCATATGTGTGCGAGCAGGATTTGTAGTACGTTATGTTCCTGGGACAGGATTTTATCCGTGCATTCGGATTTCGGTTGGACGCCAGAGAACACGTGGAGGGTCGAAGGCAGGGAGATGTGGTACCACTTTGCGCAAAGAGTGGGAGACCGCATATATTTTCCCGACCGTCCAAGGAACCTGAGTTTAGCAGCGGAGGTGGGAGGGCTTTCGTCACTACGGGAACCCCAACAACTACAAATTAGGGCGTTGGTACGACGTGTAGTGCCGAAGGAGTCACCTGCGCAGACGGACTTGATTGAACACGTCATCGATGTACAAGGTGCGAGGCCGATCAAGACACCCATGCGCAGGTACTCCCTGCAGGTCACCGAGTTCATCCGCCGGGAGGTCGCGGATTGGCACAAAAAGGGGTTAATCCGCTCCTCCCAGAGTGAGTGGTGTAGTGCACCGGTGGTCGTCAAAAAGCACGATGGAAACTATCGCCTGTGCATCGACCTGCGACCAGTGAACAAAACCACTCGCATCGACGCTTATCCGATGCCGGGAGTAGATGTGGTACTCGATCGGTTGCGGGGGGCCCGGTACATTTCCAAAATTGACCTAAAGAGCGCGTATCTTCAAGTGCCCTTGCAAGAAGATAGTAAGAAGTATATGGCTTTTGGGGCACCAGGTTGCAGTCTTTGGGAATGTAACCGGATAATCTTCGGGTTGGTCAATGCCCCCGCAACCTTCATGCGCTTGATGGACGCACTGTTCGGACCAGACTTCGAACCGCACGTGTTCAAGTACCTCGACGACGTGATTATAGTCACGGAAACGTTCGAGGATCACTTGGTGTGGCTCGAGAAGGCGCTAAGGCGCATGGTCCAGGCGGGACTGGAAATTAACGTCGAGAAGAGTGAGTTCGGTTGCTCTATCGTAACATTTTTGGGGTACCTCCTCGACGAGAATGGGCTGCGGCCAGACTCCGACCGCGTGGGGCCCGTCCTGGACTTTCCAGCCCCGCGGAACATCAAACAGTTGCGCCGATTCTTGGGAATGTGTGGGTGGTACCCCAGGTTTATCGAGCACGAGTCACATCTAAAGGTGCCCCTAACGAAGCTGTTGCGCAAGAACCAGGTCTGGCGCTGGGGCTTCGAACAACAGCAAGCGTTCGATTCGCTGAAACAAGCGTTAACCGAGGCCCCAGTGCTGGTACGTCCGGATTTCACCCGAACGTTCTATGTGCACTGCGACGCGTCGTCCTATGCGCTAGGAGCCTGTCTGATGCAGAAGGACGACGAGGAGCACGACCACCCGGTGTGTTACGCGAGCCGCACACTGAACGAACACGAGAGGAACCACACCGTGTCAGTGCTCGAATGTCTCGCCCTGCTATTCGGCATTCACAAGTTCAGACCGTACATCGAGGGCGCGCATTTTATTGCAGTCACCGATCATATGGCTCTGACTTGGCTGAAAAATAAGAAGGATCCTTCGGGGCGGTTGGCCCGCTGGATATTTGAGCTACAGCAATGGGATTTCGAGCTGGTGTACCGCAAGGGAGCATTCCATCATGTCCCGGACGCGTTGTCTCGTGGGACGGGGCCCCAGGAGGACATCGCAGCGTTCGAAACCATCGCCGATCCATGGTACCTTCAACGGTTGAGAGACGTGGAGTCAAAACCACAGAAGTTCCAGCACTGGAAAATCGAGGACGGAATGCTGTACAAATATGGTACCAATGAACTCCGGGACCCAATATAACCCATAAAGAGCAGTGTTGGCGGCTCGTCGTACCGGAGGAGCGCCGATCATGTGTTATGCGAGACGCTCATTGCGAGCCGTCTGCGGGACATCTTGGCCGCGAAAAGACGTATGACCACATCGCTCGCGAGTACTTCTGGCCGGGTATGTGGTACGATGTGCAGAAATTTGTGCAGCCATGCCGCTACGGATCCGTCAATCACCGACCCTCCTAAGGTGCGGGAGCTCGCCCCCCCGGCCTGATAGGCAAAGCTCTGGTGGTGACCCCGGCTCAACTCCCGGGTCGGTCGCGGGCGCGACGGGCGAAGTCAGTGGTAGCGCGTCCCTGGCGCCGCCGGCCGCTGCCCCACTCCCGCCGCACCTGGAACGTCAGGCTCGGGAGTAGCAGGAGGCCCTCAGGGCTAACTTCGTTCCGCTGGAGTCGGTTTCTCATCCGGGCCGGGCCGAATGGGACAACCACCTCAACACCGGCCCGGCCCGTCAGGCGCTCCCGCTCCAGCAGGCACTGGCCAACCTGGCATCTCGCGGACCGCGGGTTCGCGCTCGGATCGGGTGCGCCTACGCTGGGGGGTAGACATGGGCCTCCAAACCGCCCGCACCCGGGGTATACGAACCTACATAAAACCAGGCACCCCGGGTTTGCGTTTCGGAGAGGCAAAGGGGGAGGATTGTGGCTCCCTGCCGACGGTCCGGGAGGAACCTCTGGTTTCGCCGCGTGCTCCGAGGCGGGAAATAAAAATTCCCCTCGAGGTGCAGTTCCTCCCGGCGACAGCTGAGCCGGAAGAAAGGCCGCGTAGAGTGCTCCCGCCGACGCGGCCCGGCGGTCAGGGCCTCTTTCCTCCCGAGGGGTACGAAGACGAGGACGTCCCCGAACCCTCGAGGAAAAAGAAGGCTGGGCGGCTCCCCGACTTCTCCAAGGACGTAGAGTTCCGCTACGTCGGCGATAGTCTGTCCTCGCAGGAAACTTTGACTGCGAGGATGGAAGCGATGAGCCGACGTGAGGCGAAATAAGGCGCGTCCGGAGAGGTTGGGCAATCCCAGACCTCGAGGGCGGAGCCGGTTCCCCCCGAAGAGGTGAACCCGAACGAGTCTGGCCCCGTGGGGGTGGAGAGCCCTGGGCTAGTCTCGCCTCCGAGGTCGGGGATGGCTGATGGTGAGCCTGCGGTCGGAGGGAATGCGTCGGGCCAAACGCGCTTGTGGCGCCCGTTCATCGACGGCGACGGAGTCTTTTGGAAGATATATCCGGATGGCCGGAAATAAATACATTTATTTTTTGCTATTTATATAAGGTTAGCCCGTATGCGGTTCGGTAAGGGTGGTTTATGGGGGTTTGGTGGGTTAAAGGCAGGTTGGTTAGTTGAGGTAGTTCGCTCATGCATAGGATTAAATTATTTCAAGAAATAACAAACAACTAAACTTGTTTATCCCAGGGTTAGGTGGATTAACCTGCTGATAGTTTGACGGGGGTGGTTTCTAGGAGGTGAAACACCCCTTAAACATTTTTTTTTTAATCCGGAAACACGTCAATTTAATTTTGGTATTTTCTCATTATCAGTGCGATTTTTAAATCACTCGAGCTGTTTTACTGTATTACATGTCGTAAAACAGTACAAAAAATAGTGTATTTACCCCTATTAAAAAGGGGGTTGCAACCCTTCAGTATAAATGTTATGTCCTTAAAAGCGCCTTTTTATAAGAAATTTTTTAACGTTGAGTTTACTGAAAACTTGATGCTGAGATTGATTTGATGCTGAGAAATATTAAAAAAACTGGTTTTAGGGGTCGATTTTTAGGGTGTATTTCACCCCTTAAAAGCCCTTATGGGCCGATAAATAAAAACACGTATCTAATTTTTTCCAAGTACTACAACATGCCCCAAAATCATTCAAATCGGTGAGGTCGGGTTGGGGTGGTTCCCTTGTTAGACACGCGCCGCCACCAAAAATCGGCCGATATCGCTCTCTCTCTCTCTCTCTCTCTCTCTCTCTCTCTCTCTCTCTCTCTCACCCTTCTCGCTCTCACTCGAACTCACACTTTCACTTTCACTCACTTTTTCATACGAAAAATTCTTAACATGTTGGTGCAATAATTAAAAATATATATCAGGTTTTGAGATATTTGCAATTATTTAAAAGAAAATTCAATAGCTTTTGGAAAAATAATTATTTTTTTATCCATAAATGCTAATAAATTTTATGATTTTACGCGAATTCCTAAAAAAGCCAGACCCTGATATCGATTTTGGTTTCCGAAATATCAGCATTTTTTACAAATTTTCATACTTTTTTAAAAATTAATAATTTTTGCCCTGGTATATTTTTAAAATGAAGATTTGGGAAAATGTTTATCTCTCTATATATAACAAATGTACAAAATTTGAAACAATTGATTAACCAGTATGTCCAGAGCCATTTAAATAGCCTGTAATCGCCTATCAAATAAGTTAGTTTTATGTAAAAATCTTGAATACGAAATATATGAATGGAATTTTGTGTGATCGAAAACTCTTTCGACATATAACAGTGTGACGTATTATTTTTTTATAGAAATGTAAGTAATCGACGCTAATTTTTTATAAGTCGTCTGTATGTACATCATTGCAACTATACTATCAAAACGACAAGGTTACTTCATAAAAGATGCTTCATAAAATGTTTACGAATTAGCACTGCATGTTTAGAGATCGTCACACGCGAAACGTTAGTTCATGGAAGTTACATAACTAAGGACTTTTCCACGAGTAATATGAGACAATGAACATTAATTTTCAATCCGATAATACTTGTGAGCAACAGCGTACGCGTAGACAAAAGCGCGATGAGAGGGGATAGAGCCCGTCAGCAGCAATTGTTGGTCGAGATACCGCTTTGGAGGCCACATATATGTATATATGTCGTGTGCCGAACTACCGAGTGCCGATGCCGACTGATGCCGACACTGCCGACAGTGGCGGGACGCGCGCGCCACGCGTGCGCTTCAGCAAAAAGTAATGTCTACGGCGACGTTGCACGTGTTACGCTGCCGCGGTTTGAATAAGCTTGCGCTCTCCTTCACTCGATCGTGCCAGAATTCGTACTTGTCTCGCGCTCAGCAGCAGCTGCCGACGAATATCTTCGCTAGCAACATGTCCAGCAACTTCACGACTGTCGAGCGCGGTGCACCAAACTCACCCGACTACAGATTATTTTTCAGTTAGTTACTTTACTTTTTATTCATTTTTCAAGTCTGCCCCAGCTTATCGTGTACCCATAACTTAACCTACCATGTTCATTTTCTGCTGCTTCTCATGTCCTGAGTATTTATTGCCTACTACTTTACTTTCTTTAGACATTTCTCGGCCTTGTGTCGGCTTTGCGAGATTGAGTTTCATGCGCGTCTTGCTTAACAGATCTTACTTTAATACGATAAGAATTTTTGCACTTTACCGTTTTTTGCCACGATGACCACGCTCTTGAATACTGAACATTGACTGCTAAGGTCAAGGAAGTGGTAAAGATTAATATCATTGCACATAAAAAATTTTTAATATAAAATTTATAATTAACATCACTTGCTAGAGCAAATCCCATTAATCATCTAGTGACATTGTATTTGCAAATTTTTTTTATTAATATGTTATTTCAAATTGTATAAGATTTCACAATTAATATGTTTTTATTTGAATATAACAATTATGTATTTTGATATTTCTTTTTCAGAAAATGAATCCAGTCCAATATCACCAATGCATGACATTCCTTTGTTTGCCGATGAAGCAAATAAAACTTTTCACATGGTTGTTGAGATTCCAAGGTGGACAAATGCAAAAATGGAAATCAATTTGAAAGAAACCTTGAATCCGATTAAACAAGATGTGAAAAATGGAAAACTTAGATATGTTGCTAATTGTTTCCCACACCATGGGTATATTTGGAACTATGGAGCTTTGCCACAAGTGAGTATATCTTCCAATATTATTCTGAAAATAAAGCAGGTAAAACATGAAAGCTTTTTTTTAAAAATTTGTAAGAAAATACATTTGCAAACTCTCATGAAAATAAGTTAAAAAGTTATTAACTAAAATAGTCTTGCAAGTTACTTAGAATTGCAATCTTATAATCAGTAATAAAACCTTGCATAGAAGATAATTCCTCTGTTGATAACGAAACGCTTCTATCCAAGGTCAATATCGCCTAGTATTATACAATTTTCACAGAATTGTATATTAACTTAATATTAAATTTCAAAACTAATTTGTTCATTTGTCATTGTCCAAACATTTCCAAAAACATATGCATTTATATAATTTGACTAATGTATTATTTATATATCAAAATATTTAGACATGGGAAAATCCTGAGGTCCTGGATGAAGCAACTGGTTTCAAAGGAGACAATGATCCAATTGATGTCTTAGAAATTGGTTATAGAGTAAGTTTGTACATATTGTAATTTGATTTATGAAAATACTTGAATACTCTTTAATCTTATAACAATTTTAGGCAGCTAAAAGAGGAGAAGTTTTAAAAGTAAAGATTTTAGGAGCAGTTGCCCTTATTGATGAAGGTATTATAAAAGAACATATATATTATTTAAGTTATTACTAAAAATTCCATTTTCTTATCTACAAAATTGTTACAGGTGAAACTGATTGGAAGATTATTGCTATTGATGTAAATGACCCATTAGCTGATCAAATGAATGGTACTTGATAAATTACTGAGTTTAAAAAATTTACTTTATATCAATTAATTTTTGCAATAACTTTGAGTAGCAATATTCATTTCACTTTGTAAAGTAGATGAAAATTGCATGAAATGCATAATGGTATGCAACAAAAATTAAAAATATTGATTAACTAAATTAGATAATAACTTATTAAGTTTTCTGAAAATGAAATGTTATTGTGGATAATACATTGTATATCTTAAAGGCTTATTTATAAATATTTTTTAGATATTGCAGACATTGATAAGCACTACCCAGGTCTACTAAAAGCTACCATTGAATGGTTCAAAATATACAAAATACCTGATGGAAAACCAGAAAATCAGTTTGCTTTCAATGGAGAAGCTAAAGCAAGAGATTTTGCATTACATGTAATTGAAGAAGTCCACAAGCACTGGCTAAATCTCATTAAAAAAGAAGCTAGTGCTGGAGACATTTCATGGTTGGTACTACCACATTTTCCGTCTTGTAGGCTATATATGCAATTATATGTTTTTATTTTCAGTCTCTCATTTATTACTGATATGTATATTTTTGTTCTAGTACAAACGTAACACTGGCTGATAGTTCATTCCAAATCACAGCCAACGATGCTACTGAAATTGTTGATAAATCAGCAGAGCCACAACCAGCTGTACCTATTGATCCTATTGGTGAGTTTGTAATATTTAATTTTATATTCGTTTTTATTTTTTATAAGTTCTATTTGACTTCTGTTATAATTTGGTTACAGTTAACAGAATTTTCTTTTTAAAGACGAAATTACCGAATAAACTGTAGAGATTTGTTAATTATTTAAAATTACAGTTCTTTAATTTTTTTCTTCAAACCTGATTTATATTATCCTTCCTTCTGTATTATATTATTTCCAACACGAAAGTTTATAAAAAATATTTTGATTATTTCAGTCGACAAATGGCACTACGTTCATCTTCAGTGAAAAAAAAGGCTGCCATTTACAGAGTTCTTATAGAACATAAAAACGTTTTGTGCACTTTGCCTTGCACCTTACCTCGAGAATTTTTTTTAGTGATTGTACAACAATGTTAAGATATTTTAGATACTGTTTCAAACAGTTTATTTATTGCCACTGTAGTATGATATAAAACATAATTTTAAAATAAGGAACAATTTAGAAAAAGACTATCACAAATACAGAGAAGCTCGATATTTTATCAGCATATTATTTTTTTCCATATAATTAAAAGAAACAGAATAAAAAAAACATTGCAATTGAATACAAAAATAGTTTCTTTATTTTTATAATTTACCAACAAACTTGTTTGTCATGTAAAAGTATTTTCAAAGTTTTCAATGTTATCAGTCTCATAGTGTGAGTAGGCACAGTTGACGTGTACAAAACACAAAAAATATGATCATTTTCTTTAAATGCGTGACACTTGTGGTATTCTGAACACCAATATGTTTCTTTAGCATTTATTGTTTTAGTTTCAAAAATTTCTTCTTCTTTGACAGCTGTGTCAGAAGTTAAAAATGTTTCAACTGCATAATGATAAAAAGTTCTCAAAGTGTCTAATCGGTGAGTTCCAGATATGAGATTTTTTGATTGCTGAGCATTCCTACTAAGAACAAACTTACCAATTTTGAAATTAACTAAGAGGAATCTGCAATATATTTCAGTATTAAAATATACTTAAATTTATAATAAGCTTATTGTCAAGTGTATCTTGTAATTCCATCAAGAAATGGTTTAGAATCTTTAAAAATTATTACCCTAAAATGCCAGAATCCAATGTAATGGCCATTGGAAAATTTCTTGGATAACATTGTTCTGAAGTTCGTAATATTTCCATGCTGTTTTTCCAAGACTGTATTGCTAATCGTTCGATTTCAGCTAATTCAGGATTAGGTCCACATAAAGCTAAAACTTGAACATTATTGACTAAGGTTACATTCACAAGTCGGTAAGCCAACTGTAGAGTGATAATAAATATTTCATAAAAATAAATAACATTAGTTTCAAAAGGCAAATAATTAATTTGAAATCATTACTGACATTCGGACTTTTATAAGGTAAAAATACTGGTAATTCTCTTGCTGTACCATTGTTTTCTGTAGTAATTGCTAAAGTTAATAATTTTCTTTCAATAGAATTTAGTGACCACCAACTATCTGTGGCAACAGCTATGCAATCATGAATCAGTACACACCCATACGATGAATCCAACCGTTCCATATAACCATCTAAACAAATCTAAAAAAGAATTACTTATATCAAAATTCAACATTTTTAATTATTTAAAAACTAACTTGGAGCAGATGATTTTCGGAGCACATGAGACAGTCTGTTAAGTTGATAAGATCAGTTTTTGTTCCAGTTCTGTCACCAACATCTAAACATTCTAAAAGCGTATCAATAATAGGATAACAAACTCGTAAGTCTCTTTTTAATCTTTCTACACTTCTAGGCTGCTCGAGATCTTTTAGGCCAACAATTAAAATCATTGTGTTAAATACTACTTCTAAAAATTTTTCAATTACATGTTTTGTGATTCCACTTGCAATGGCTATCAATATAATACATTCTTTGAACTCTTTCCAAACAACTGTTGTGTCTGGCATATCTGTATTGATTAATTCTACATTATGTGTTTTCAAAAACATATGTACTCCATTTAAGGATGCCATTTTTGAAAAAGTCATCTACAATTGTAAAAGTACTTATATTTTATGATAAACTAAGTGAAAAAATAATATAGTTTCATTACCAATTCACCATCTCCTTTTTTTCTTACGAATAGTGGAATACCTCCTGATGAGGTGAGACACATAATATGTGCTGTCATTCTATGAATATTGTACAAAAATTAATATAAGAATGAGATAAACAAACGGTTTTGGATGAACAAAAGAAATGCGATATCGGATTCTTTATATTAATTTGAAATTACACTATCTAAATGTGCTTAACTTCTAAAACGCGTTTTGTAATTGATGTAGTAGGCGTTGCGCGTTTACTGCAAATAACGAATAAGATAATTACGTAGGTGTTGAACGCAACACAACATAGAATTTTTGTAGCTAGCATACGGAGTTAACACTGTTAACAGAGGCAGAGCCCAGACTCTTCCGCACTAGATGGCACCAAAGTGACCTTTTTCACAAGTTGAGTTTTGGCGGTTGTATTTGACTTGACTCTCTTCAACGTTGACAACAGTCTTAATTGGTTAATAGACTTATGTTCGATTACTAATTGGATTGATTCTGTTTGGAATTCAATCTTCACCACTATACAGATCTCCTAAAATATAAACTCCAACTAAAAGGGAGGAAAGGAGTTTTATATTCTATTTTTTCTAAGTTTTGATATTCTATTGTTTCTAAGTACCTTTGAGAGTTTTTGTGCATCGTGGCGCTACAAGCTGTGATGAGGGGTTAACGTTCCAGTTAAGGCTGGTGAGTGTCTGTTAGAGAAAATTTAGCGGTTGAGTGCTGTCCACAATTCCAGAAGACATGCTACAGCAAACCCCTTTGATTGAAGTGTACTCAAGTATCACTATATTGGTTAACTTCATTTAATCGCGAAATTCGTGTGGCGGTTTTTTAAAAGTTTTTGCTGACAAATTTAGTCATTTGGTATTTTGATAAAACTTGTGTCGCGACAGTGTCAAATTTCAACTTGAAACGACCAAATTTTCTAAACGTATTTTGACCTCCTAAATCTGAATTTCGAGAGTTTTCAGGTAGACGAAATGACTTTCAATTGTTTGTTTGTTAACAATTTAAATGTTCATAACGCTATATAGCTTTCTTGTTGATAGAGTGGCTTTGACTTGACAAAAGAGAACTTGGACAATAAGCTTGACTTGAATAGCTGCCGTATACCATCTTGTCAACGAAAACAGGACTTGAACATTAGGCGAATACAAATAACACGCTTGCATCGACTATGACTTGCCTTATAAGAATTTAAGGCAAAAAACTCATTTCGTGTTTCGATGCCTCGTATTTCTATCCTTAGTTCTGGCTCACTTTCCTTCTCCCTCCCGTCACGTAGACCTGACCTCTCGAGCCCAAAGGAAATTGGGCGCGCTCCGCTCGTTTTCCCTTTCGTTCTTTTTCTCCCAGCTTCGCCAGCGATCTATCTAGGGAACGCCACGGTACGATAACTGAGCTATACGACTATCCAACGTCTTGCATTAGAGCGTCGATACAACCCCGAGGATGGTTCTCGAGCTGTTAAGCCTTGGCTTTCTGAAAGCCATGCTCGCCATAACTAACGAAGCCCATCCTAATTCTCGACAATTACATCTATAATCTTTGGTATAATGAGTCACGCGTTACATTTTTCATACCTATTATGTTTTAATAATAGTTATAATATTGAACTACGACGCAGCAAAGTTACACGAGATGTTCCGCACATGACTTCTTCCTGAATGATCCTATCTTTGCCTGTCCGTGCGACCGTGCATCAGCCAACCAAACTAATTACAGCCATTGTCTATAGTATCAACGAGTCTAGATTTATAGCGGTTAGTTTCTGTTAGTTGACCTTATATCTGCGCTTGTGGGTTTTTTCCCAAGCCAAATAGAATGGAAGTCTTTCCTCTGCCGCGTCCCTAGGTACTTCTACTCTCCACTCCAGGCAAGTCTTTTATTTTTGAATGTCGCGCTCGCACCAAATCTATCGTTAACATCTAGAGATATTTTTTATTTTTAATAAAGCATATCAGTTTGCTTGGAACATCGAGCTGAATGAGATCTTCGGAAAGGATGTTAGGTACGACTTAGTCCAAGGCGCCCTCGATGTCGGCGAAGAGAGCTCTAAGGTATTCGTATACGTCCAGTATACGAGTACGTCGGTAGCTAGCACCGCAACGCTATCTTGGCAGCAGCGAGCCTTACTAAAGCCGAATTGACTTCTCAGGATAGAGCAATTATTCTCCGAGAACAAGTCCAGGCGTCATTTAATTATATACTCTGCTAGCTTTAGAAGATTTGGCAACAAAGCAATTGGCCTAAATCCCTGGTTTTCCGACTTGGGGATCAGCGCGATAATCTACTTTCCCCACTTCTTAAAAAAAGTTCCTGATTTTAGAGTCTCGATGAAGTATTCGCGTAGGGCTTCATGTGCATTTGGCGGTAAATTTGTTATGATTTCATTTGACAAGTCGTTGCCGGGAAATGATTTAGTCTTGAGGTTTTTTGTAGCGAAATCATACTGGAAATCTTAAGTAATGTTTCCGTTAATACTGCCTTTTATGGCAATTATAAAAAATTCAAGCAAAAATTTTTTTCCTGTTAGAGTTCACTGATTTTCCTTGCGGCTTCTTTGATCTTTGGATCGTTCGACTCGGCATTCGGAGTACTTTCTTCCGAGATCTGATTATTCTTCAATTGTTTTTATCGAGGACTAAAGTTTTTTTGCTACTTTCTTCGGATTAACTTCGTGTGGAAATTTTTTATGTATTTTTGCGTGTGTATCTCTTCGTCGTACATTCAAGCAAATTAGTCAAGCTGTTTTTCTCCTGAAAAGCCCTGTCTTTAGCTTCTTCTTTACTATTTACTGCTTCTTGACATTCATGATTCCACCAGGGTGAGTAGAATTAATAATTCTTTTGTTGCGCTAGATTTTTACTCCATCGCTAATACGCGCGTTTTCTTGCGATACTCTTTATTGTTCTATACTTTTCAATCGAGTTTTTAATTTTTAGATCACACTAATTTATATTGAGATCTATTTCTTTTTTAAAATTACTCCAGTTCATTTGTTAATATTTAATTTCTCCCTATCCGATTCACGTGCACAGTTATTGTTGTAAAAGATGACGATCATTAGGTAATATGCAGTTGTGGCTCGGATTGCGGATGATTAAATTAGAGTCTTTTAGAATAATGAATTTGGGTTATACAGTCTATTCACTCAAATTCTTACTAGAGCTTTCGGCATTTTTGCTCCATGGCCAGTCATGAACATTGAAATCTCCGCAGACAATAGTTTCATCAGGTACGTCCTCCAATATTCCAATTACGTTACGCCTTGTTTACTCTTCTGCCAATACGTATACTTCGGATTTTCTATTTAAGTTTACAATATTAAAGTTATGGCTTATATTTACAGTGACAACATCTATCCTCTCAGTTCTATTGACATCGAGTAGAGGGATAGACTTGTAATTTATTCGATTGTGCGTCTCCTGAACGCACACGATGCTATATATCGTACTTAAAGGAAGGGGTGTTCCGATGCTCTTACAGGATATTAATGAAATTTTTATTTTTTACTCCTATTTATAGAATTCAATAGGATACCGCTAGTTAGCAATGCTTGGGCGCGCCTACTTTTGTCGGTCCTATAGGGCGCTTTGGATGAAAGATTGGACTCTGCCCATGGCTTTGTTAATACAGTAATTGCACCGACAATGAGAGATCTTTCACGTGCAAAATAAGCTTGATGGTACTTGATGGTAGAAGAGTACGCATTTCGTTATTTCACTAAATTTCATTATTCTTTTAACGTGTAAGTTTGGGTATAGTCTGCGCATATCGGACTCGATGTCGTTTTCATCGATTTCGGGATCAACGCAGCGGATCACCTCTCTGCTCTGAACATTTTATGCTCCGCAGGATGTAGGAGTGCCATCTAGTTGGAAAGTGTTTCCGCTTTTGGAGGGCGTCGTTCGCTTTCGCATACTCGTGAAAGGTAATTTCATATCTATTTCTACCAACCGGCTTGGCAGAGTCAAACTCGGTATTTGCTTCGATGTAAGTTTGCTGGGAAACTTGAATGAGTCTCGAGGTAATTTCTAGTCGCGTCAAATTGCTCTATTACCACGATAACGTGAGGCTTCTTGGATCAAGCCGAATATCCGTTTTGAAAGTGTTTCTTAATGTGGTCGACGGATTTGGAAAAGACCATATTGCGCTATTCCATGTGAATTGCCGCTTTTGACGGAAAGGACATGAAAAGGAATGAGAGAAAATAAATTTTGATGTGTGAAGTAGGGCCGGTTACAAGTGTCCCTCCAGACTCATTGGTATTACAAATGTATGTTCAACGTTAAAAAACACTGCAACGTTGTAGATAGCACTGCGAACGTTTTCGAAATTCAGTACATGAACGTGACCGCTTAATCGGTATTGCAGAAATCCGCTCTACATTTCATCTAATCGATATATGTATAGTGATCGATGAAATATCTTGATTTGAAAGAAAGACAAAAACCATTTGGAAGTTGTTTGAGTTGCAGTGAGAGTGTAATGCCTAAAAAATCGATAATTAGGTAACAAGTTTACTGAGAGATTAGGGTGAATATAAAAAACTGTAAATATCAAGTAACGACGTATGGGATACAACTGTGTCGATTGACGATGTTAAAATCTACAAATAACACTTTCTTCGTCGACTAAAATATAAGAATGTACCGAAGATACATTTTCGAATTGATCGAAATGACAGCGAGTAAAAAGAAAAAAGTCTGTCGACTGACAGCAAATAAAGCGAAAAACAGACAATAAAGTAAATTGGGATTTACGAGTGCGGATACATAATCGGTACATTATATTGACAAGTAGTTGGCCGCGATGGATGATTATTATCCGAGTGCATAGTCCAACGAATAGTTTGAAAGTTCTCGTCCACTAGCGGAGACCTTGCAGCAGTTAGATTGTAGTAGTCGCTGCGTTGTATGCTAATCATTGATATTCGGTAAGCTGTGACGGCGGAGCAAATAATGTTCTCTTTGTAAAAATGATCGTGCATTCGAGTGGCGTTGAGTGGAACATAAAGCAGCGAGCGCAGAGCCGTAGAGGGCAGTCGTTCTCGAACATGTACCTCGCACTCTCGCTCGAGTCGGTCATTTGACAGAAAGACGAGTTATTGATTCGCTCAGCATTGCTTCAGCCCGTGAATCGGCGCCAAACTGTGCGACTGTGGAGCAACTAGGTTTTAACACCATGAGCTTTCTGCCGTTATGAATAATGAAGAGTAAAGACGAGTCAGGCAGCAGCGCAACTCCAACCAATGGCAAGTAAAAAATCCCGTTTGATCAAAGCGCAGCCTGTTGATTATCGCAAATAAGAAGCAGAGCAGAGCGATAAGGCAGACATGGATCGGCAAATGTCTGCCAAGGACAATAGTGAAATAATGGCATCTGACTGTTGCACGCAGACGTCGAAGCAGCTATCGAGAATCCGAGCGGCTTGTGGGTCGAGATGTCGAAGGTTTTGCGGCAGGCCGACAGCAAGTGGATTCTGCTGCTGATGCCATGCAACGGCGTCGTGGTGTACTACCTGTGGATTTGGTCTACCCGCAGCGAGAGCCTCGGTGAGCATTCGAGGAGAGAGGAGAGCTGGTGGCATTGGCAGCATCGACGGCTGTCGACCCGCAGCTAAATCGAGCGGACAACTTGCAGCTCTACGGGCTTACGCGAACGCGCTTGCGTTCGACGTGTGCGCCCTGGCGGTCTGCCTGGTCTCCGTCTGGGTGGAGCAGAACACTGGCTGGCGGAGCCGCTGCGGCCCGTCCGTCGGCCAGCTCGGCCTCGAGCGCTACGAGCTGTTCGGCCTGCTCGCCTCCTCGTGCCTCTGCCTCTCGGCGCAAGCTCTCCTGTTCGTCGACGCTCTCGCCAGAAGCGCGCAGCGCCAGTCCGTGCTCGTGCACGAGTGAGTGAGCGAGGCAAAGAGTCGGACGCCTCTCCTATCGAGCGTCAGATCGTCAAAGGCGACGTACTCGCAGTATTCGCCGACCTATAACCTCGGAACTGGCTCGGTTTATCGCTGACCGAGCGCTTTGCGAGGCGCGAGTTCACTTGCCGGCCTCTCCCTTATCTGCTCTACGCCGCGGCGAACCATTACCGCCTGAGACCGTTTCGCCGCGACGACTGTTTACGGTATCGGCATTTCGCTCTTGCTCCTGGCTAGTTTTCTTCGACGATCACGCGTGCACGTGTTTTTTCTCGTTTTTCCCGTTTTTTCACGTTTTTTCCTCGCCAACAAGCCTATGGCGCTAGTGGAATAAGGCGGCATTTTTTTTCCAAAACGAATAGTCTCGACTCGCGCTATTCTTGCTCAGTAACACGTCTTCCTGCAGTAAGCGCCATTACCTGTGCGCCAGATCGCTGCTTTTTTTCGCAAACAATGATTTTCATTGTACGTCCGCGAATAAGTTAGAAGTGCACTTCGCGCGTCACCTACCCCCTAAAGTCCATCGACCCAATTTCGCATTCACGCACGTTGCACAGCAACACAGCGCGACACTATATAGCTCCAGCGATTTACATCATCTTCGAGCACGACGTCCGCTTTGCAACAGCTCAATTCTTTTATTCTACAAGCTTCCCATGGAGGAATATCATTCATTCTAGCTGTTCTAACATTACCGAATATCCAAAACTTCCAATAGTCATCTTCACCCTTGTCGGCGCATAAATCAGCCAGACGACTATTTTTATCCGAGTAGACCCAATAATATTCGACACTTTCAAATAGCAACTTGACGACGTAACTTTACCCAGGAAAGGAAGTAGCGCGATATAATCTACTTTCAGTCCAAGCAGTTTTACGCTGAACTGAATTCCATTGAATTGTTAACAGAGGCCGTCTGGGATTAGGTGCTGTCGTGGGTGTCGTCGCACATCTCGTAACAATAGTAGTCTACCCCGATGCCAGCTTGAATCACGTTGTTTGCAAGGCATTGCCCTGTCCCACCTTCAATGGTATCAATCCTATACTTGCTGCTAACCTCATCAGCTTTACCGTCCTTTGTGGCTCTCACCTCACAATACACTTTTGGTAAGTTCTCCTTCTATATATACCCAACTTTTGAACTTCATTGGCGATATTCATTATTTAAATTGTGCCACCGCAAACGCGTATTCATCAATGATTCCTTATTTCTTAACAGGCAATTGTATATTACCGACATTGTAGCTGCTTTTGTTGTGATTGCGCTGACTGTGGCATCGATGTTGCCGTTGGCCTTTTATACTGTATCCATTATTTTTCGAGTGAGTCCAGATCTTTATATGTTTCACTAGAAGTTTTCATGAATCAGGTCGATAACTATAATTTCGGTTATTATACCAAAATTAGCAATCTTCTTTTCTAGTGATAATCGACCAATTATAAAAATAATTAAGCAACAAACGTGTTGATAACATCAATTGAGTACAGTGAATAAAAGACGCCTCATAATCGATCCATTCAAATGTATACATTACATCACCGCGAGTTGTATTATTTTCTACGTACTTTTTAACTCACAATGATAAATCGGAATTCGCAAAGTGATTTATACGATTTGTAGAAATGCACTGTAATCATTACGTTGATATTTGTATATATGAATTCGTTTTGTGGTAAACCAAAGTATGGTAGTATTTATGGATGATAATAAACTTTCTTTTCAGAATATATCCCATCATATGAGTGAGCAGCTACAAAGGTGCTTACAAGAAGCTCTTATTATTGATGGCGTGTTAGAATTTCGAAACGAAAGATTTTGGACGAAATCATTTGGAAAGCTTGTAAGTAAAACCTGAAAACTGATAGTAAATGTTCAAATGATCATGGCATTATCCTGAGAGTTCATATAATTTATTTTATAGGGCTTGACAAATTTTTAAAATGTTTATTGAAATATTCATTGAACTTGTTTTTCTTGGTTGTAGTCGGGCAGTTTAGAAGTGCGCATAAGAAAAAATGCCAACGAAAATTACGTACTAGCGAAAGTTATCAAGCGACTATCTCAAGTTGTGTCTACCTTGAGTGTCAAAGAGTTTCGCGAACCAATCAATCTTGCCAACGATTTCATGGTCGGGCTGCCGTTCGAATATTACATGGACGAGCTTTTACAGGGCAAAGTTTTCAAAGAATGCGAGAAGAAGCCAAAGAAGCTGGAAACCGAGGATATTGAGACAAGCGATGTCGTTAAAATTGAAGACGTTTTACTGCGTGACGGTACTTTGACTAGTTCTACTGGTAGACGAACAGATGAACCTCACGACAATCGCCTGAGAGTATCGAACTGTATAGGAAACTTGGAAAAACCTCGTCAGAAGTACTTTCATCCGAGACTGCCCGTGCAAAATGCACTTTTTTTAGGTTCCAGGTATAATCTTGAAGATTTGCATTGTTCGACTAGACTACATTGCCAATAAATATATTTATTAACTTTTTCATTTTGATAAACTTATGTTTATTTGAGTATCAATATCAGAAACACTATTGACTGTGTTTAAATAAAGCCCGTAAAAATGTTCACAGTGTTCATTAAAATTTGAAGTACTGAAAAAAGATAAAGGTGATAAAATTCAATAACATTTAACGTATTGCAGCAGCAACGTAGTGACATGTCATAAAAACCGAACGTCGATTGCGCGTAATGTATTGACATTTATAAACTAGCTGTGTAATTAATAGACGAATAGCAATACTCGAGTTTCCCAGCAAGAGTGCGAATAAATTACTGGACGGTATCTGCATAAGATCGCGTGATACGGCGCATTACACCCAACAGAATGAAGAGTCAATCGTTAAAGCTCTCCCTGATTCGGATCTCGTTAATCGATTTCTACTTAAAAAGTATAGCTTGACATGTTTGGTGACTGTTCCACCGATTAAGTCTACGCACCGTCAACTTCCGATTCACGATCGTCTTCCCGCTTCCTTTGTCTTGCTGCTGCTCGCTGAAAAAAGAACAAGCAGAGCTACGCTTTCCTGCAGTTGCGAACAAGTCTACATCGAGCGCCAAGCTAGCTGAATAATCGTTGTTAACTAATTAAATTAATATATAATCGCTTGTATAATTTCATTGTTTACGTGATTGCTTCTAAGTACTTTGTTTTGGAATCCACTCCGCAAATATCCTTTAAAGTTATAAGCGGTTATGAAAACTTTCCTACAATTGTATTGTTCATTGCAGAAATGTGAGCAAGCATAAATAATACGAAGCCAGTCATGAATAAACAAATTTTTACGTAACCGACGATTTCACTTATTTTATTTTTGGCGTGATTCCGATCCTCTCCTTTTTCGTATTACGGCTTCATTTTTTACGTGCAAGTAAAAGTAAGAACTTGGAAGACTTTCCAAAAGATGAAAAGCGGTACGTAAACCAAATAGCATTTTTTTTCATCATCGTTTGCTGTAGCATTCTTTTGAACCTGTCGCAAGTAGACTAATTCATTTATTTCCTTTAAGTGTGTTGTCATCTATTTATATAAATTAAATTATTTAAATGATAGATAACTTTCTGCTTGATATTACAATTTTATTCGTTATTGTTTCTAAGAAGATTCTATTTAAAAATTTTTGAAGATGTCAGTTTTTGCAACAGCGATCACGTAATGCAAATAATATGTTCGAGACGAGTATTATACAAATTAAAAAACACAGAAGCCAAACGAACAGGACCCCATTCAAATAAATGTCACTGATTTTACACGAATCAAGATACGTAATTTTAAGTCAATGTATTTCAAATGGAAACAATACGCATATCGTGAATATTTTTACACAGTTAGTTTTACAGGGTTTTGCCGTACACCTTAATTAATAATAAATTAGCTGTTCTGAAAGGTCGCGCGTAAATTGCTGTTTAAGATTACAACGTAGATTATCATAATAAAATCAACAGTGAATTTTTTTATGATAGCAATAAATGAACTTCTACATCGTTAACGAAATAGCGTGTAAAAATTCCATAAAATGCCGTGCACATATCTTGTCCTGTCTTTCGGAAGGATCTATATGGCAATAGAAAAAGTATATATTAAGTGACCTTTAGAAATGTGCGAGACTTGTGCAAACAAAGACACTGGTGAAGACATTTAGGCAAAAGCATAAAAAGCATTGAATGACGATAGAGCTGGAACAAAAGATCGTTTAATTGTGGAATAAGTCTGGTCAAATCGACAAAGATATTTGAAGACACAATTAGAGGACTTTAGTCAACTGCGCGGAAGTTGGTTTTTGTTCACAATCGATCGAATTGTCTTTTGGCATTAATTGGCAAATGCACTGGATAACACTGAATGGCAGCGTCAGTGTTGTATTGGCAAAAAGACGCAAAAAAGCTCGTGAATAACTCGGTCGATAAACGTCCGCAAGCTCTTGAGGCCAACGAGACCTCCGCGAAGGCAATTGTTTGGGTAAGCGGCGCGTCCGGCACGCGCAAGGCCTTAGCAGCAGGTGCACGGCAATGGCTAGCCCGAGCGTTCGGTAACGCACTTGACGCGGCAGTTCCTGATTTAGGCGACAGTCTGCTGCCTCGACAAGTAGATCGCGACGAATAACAGCCTTTGCGAGACCGCGCCCGCTAAAATGCTCGCTTTTATTGGATTTCGCTGGGAGTTCGATCGCCGAACAGGCGTGCTGCTCGAATATTTTGGCGAATCGCACATATAGGCGTCAACTGGGAAGCACCGGCGCTGGTAATCCCTCGAGACTGTCATGTTCTCGCACCGATGCAATAACAAAAGTAAAACGAAGCGAAGCGGAAATCAATATTCCATATACGCTGGCATGGCAAGCACTGGCACGAGGCTCTTTTTAGTCATGCTGCCGCTTGCAAACGTCCCATTTGGCGGTGCACTTTCATAAATGAATCACGATTGAGACGTCGATGCGCGGCGAAGAGCAAAAAAGGCGGAGATGCAGGCAGCAGGCTACCTTCTCTCTCTCTCTCTCTCTCTCTCTCTCTCTCTCTCTCTCTCTCTCTCTCTCTCTCTCTCTCTCTCTGTCTCTCTTTCTGTCTGTCTGTCTGTCTGTCTCTCTCTCTCTCTCTCTCTCTGGCTGCCTGATAGCCTGCAGCGTTGCTGCCGCTGCCACTACTGCCAGTGCGACCGAAGGAGAAGACAGCAGCACAAAAAGCCGACTGGCGCGTTCGCCCTCTCCCACTCGTGCAATCAGTGCGGAATTCGCGAAGCCGAGCTTTTTCGAATGGCGCAGCTCGTAATCCGCGCAAATGTGTCGCGACCCGGCAGATAAATGAACGGCTCGCTGTAGCGACCTGTCACTCGCGCCACCAGACAAAGCTCCATTCTCTCTCTCTGCTGCCTATGCCTCTCTACTCTATCCCTCGGCTACTTGACATTCGAATTCTCCTCTTTGCTCGTACTTCCATTTCTGCGCCGCTGCCATGCTTTTTCCAGCCTCGGGATGACTGCAGCCAGCATTTCCATCGGCCATTTTCTCTTCCTGCAAGTGCATTCCATGCCTTCTGTCTTTATGTGCAATATCTAGTTTGCTTATTCCCGGCTTATTTACCACACTGCCAAACAGGTCTACAGTTGGCGTATTTTACTAGTTTGCCAAAGCCCATTTCGTTGGTCTGTTGGCCCTGTAAACTGTTCATTCGATTGCATTCTTCGAGAAGAACTAATTTCCTAGTCAACAATTGCTACATATACGCGTATGGTCGCGTCATGCGCAAACGAACACTTTGTTTTATTTGTTACAAGGGCAGCAAAAGAACAACAAAGCTTATTTCAATGACAGTTGCTGTCGCACTTTCGTAGGCACGCGGCTGTTTATTCAATATACAGACACGTGAAAGTATATTTATATAGCTGAGAGCGCTCGCGAATTTTACAGGCACAAGTTCGGAGTTTCAGCCAAAAAAGTTTTTTAAGGCATTGTTGCAAGATGCACTATTTGACTTCACTTCTGGGACAATGCTACGTAACTACTTTATTTACATGAAATCTGCCATGAAAAAACTTTACTTGTCTAAAATTCTTGACTCGAACGTTCGACTGTCCGTATAACTCAATTGTCAAATAATAAATGAATAAACGACTATCTCGACGGAGGTTTCTCAGACGCCAATCAAATTATAATTTGGTCCATTTTCTCTCCAGTTCGAAACTTAATTCGAAATATTTTAACAAGGTCCTCGGAATCGAAAAATCCTAAACCTTTCGGTTTGCTTGTCAGAATGTCATTGATTGATGATGCCTGGAGCAGTATTGAGCAACATGAGTAGCAAGTGAAGGTGCTGACTGAAATTAAAGAGAATGAGTAAGAAATTTCACTGGGCCGACAATTTCGAATGCTCGAACGATAATGGTTTTTCATCAAAGTTAAAAGCTAACATATGGAGTTTGTGCACGGATGCAGCGCAGGCACGTGCGTTCAAGGTGTGTGCACTCACACGTAGCGCGAATGGAGAAAAGCAATTCAGCGAAGGGCGGGGGAGCGAGCAGAAAGAAGAGCGCCGGCGCGAGAATGGAGAGAGAGAACGAGCGACTGGCTGGCGGCGGAAGGAGCGGAGGCAGTTGCGCACGCTCGCGCAGTATCGCGCAGCGGCAAGCGGAGCGAGTGGAGCCGAGCCGAGACGAACGAGCATTGCGCGCGCTCACCTCGCGCTGCACGACGTTCCGCTAGCTAGTATGGCTTCTCCTGGCGACGGTTAATCAGTGCGTGTCTCGCAGCTGCCAGTGACAGCCCTGTCGCTCTCGTCTGCTTTGGCGCTCGACCTCGATACCGTCGTCGTCCCACCGCCGCGCGCTCATCTAGGTTATGGCCAGCAGTCCTTGATGATCGCCCGACACAACATTCCCACGAGGCATGCCAAACGCCGGCCCTCCGCGGCTGCCAACTTTGAGCTCTCGCCTCGTCCGGACGACTCTCGTTGACAAGTTCAAACTGCTCGCCACCTAGAGCGCCGTCGGTCTTGCTATTTTTATTTTGTTTTGGCCGCTGAGCCACGGCCGACGATCTGCCGAGCTCGCCTTTCGCTCGAGTGCTCTTTGCAATCGCAAGCCTGATGCATACGCACGTACGTGCGACCAGTTCGACCGAGTGCCTCAACTGTCAATCAAGTTGAGTGGCCGAACGCGGGAACTACAAAGTGCAGCTGGCAAGATAGAGGTTATAAAAGTGCCGGTGCGCGCGCCCACAGCTCGCCACCTACTGCTGCGACAGCGCGAGCCGAGCGCGTCCCAGCGTGCCTATATCTGTCCCACACACGCATACACACACATACACACACAGTGCAGCCTCTCGCTCGCAATACACACTCAGCATGCGACGAAATGTGAAGATAGTGCTGCTGCTCTCGTGCATCTGGATGTCCGGTTTTGTTTACTACTATCATACCACCAGAGATAACAAGGTCAGTTCTCAACTCATTTTCACTCGACGCGCGATTCAAAAATAGTCACGCAACGCATTTGGTCCGCACACGAAAGCGGCTTCCTATCGACCAGAAAGCCTGCAAATATCTTACTCGTAATGTTCACGTGTGCTCGTTGTTAAGTACCCAATTGTCTATCGACAAAGTGGAAAAGCTCGTAGAGCGACTCATTGACAAGCCCCGCTGAAACATTACACGATAAACATTTCCGTGCACTTCTTCTATCGAATTACTCAGGCGACTTTTGGGATCTTTTGATTGCGTTTATATCTACTTTTTACTTGCTACTCGTTCGAATGTGCGTACGACCGCGTTCTCTATTAAATGTATGGCTTTTAAAATTGTAAAATTCATTTCAAATGGAACTCTGTAAATCTAGGCTTGCGTCGCGGAGCGATGTATAACGAAACTCCTTTCATTTTTTTACTCGTTCATTTCTATCGATAAAGAAGTAGTCGTCTTTGGATGTTATCGAACGTAGAACATGAAATAAACCAAAGCTACTCTTGAAACAGGTTGAAAGACTTAAAAAAAAGTCTACGAAGAACAAAAAACTACGGAAAAAATCGAATAATTTTACAGTTGTGTTAGTATGTTGTTACTCTGAGTAGAGCTCGATTCGCGTGATCGCGTGCTAAGCAGTGATCAGGACAAAGTTCACATTTGCTTGAAGGGTTATCAAAGTTCAACACTAACCTTTTTTTTCGTTTTTTTTATGCGATCTAGTCGTACTAGATTTTTAAAGAAACTTGATCAACAATTTTTCGTGAAAAAGTAACCTGAAAATGTATAGTTATTGCATATGTATTGTCAGCCATCATTAGAAATGGACGTACGATTATATTTTAAAGAAAAAGTTTAAAAGTAATCAGGATAAACAAGTACGCTATGAAAGCTAAATTTATTTTGAACAATCATACACACGTCGTCAAATGAAAATTTAAAAAGACGTAAGAAATATAAATATTCACCTTTGTCTATTTTCCAACGGTGTCTGAAATTGGATGGCGAAAAAATCATTAATACGGCTCGTTACCGAATCAAGAATGTAAAAATATTTTGAGCTTAAGTCTCTTCAATCGATATTCATATATATATACTAGTGATATTTAACGCGCACTGCGCGCTCAACTTTTTTTTCGTTCATTTTAATGCACGAATATAGAGCAACATTTTTATTGGCAAAATTAAAAAATCGAAAATTCAATATGCATTAAAATTCTTTTGATTTAATATGAGCCATAGCTGGCGATATTATTTATTCATAGCAATTATATTCATGTATGGTTTGAAAATGTTATCAATGAAGTTTTAAGTTTTTATCATCCTAAGTTCTGTATTCAAAAATCATCATTCAAAATTTTGAAAAACATAATAACAAATGTATTATAAGTTCTAAATATATTATAGTTTTCTATAATCATATCATTCACGATGTAAATAACATACTCCGGTATATAACATTCACGGTTGTAATTAGTACTTTTTCAAAAAAAAATGTTTAATATTTTACATGACTTAACATAGCTGAAACTGCACTTTTATTGCCTATTTTTTTTATTTGAAGTTAAACTTTTGCATAGAGCAAAGTTCAATTAACTTCTTATTGAGGTATCAGACAGCTTTTATTTTGATAATAGTATAATTAAATTAATCAATTAATATAAAATTCATGCCAACTGTACTGATACACATTGGAGCATCTACGAAAATCTACAATAATCTTTCATGAGTATATATAACATATATATATACTAATCACATGATAGCTGATGACGTGACTATTTTGCAGCCAATAGATCATAAATAAACTAGATTCACTTTGCCAGGTTCTTTTTTTACAAGAGGAGGATAGTAAATGGGTAAAATTTGTCATGGCTTACTCTTTCAACAGTTTCGGTGAAATATAGATAATTTACGCTTGAACAATTATCGATAATATCTAAACTGCGACTAACCAATTTTGTAGCATTCTGTGTCAGTGTTTGTCTACAAAATATCAACTGAGAATTAGCTGGCGTTTATAGTAAAAGCAAAACCAAAATTACACGTGAAATATTTTACGTGAAACTGATGAGATAGACAGTTTGAAAATATGCGGTTCGTTAACCAAACTTGAATATTCTGATGGAGCTGTGTGCAGTCTGTAACAGTCGATGTTTGCGCGCCGCCAATGTTGATGTTGATTTAATGATTATTGCGTGAGTATTTCCTCGTGAATATTTCTGTCCGATTCACAGTGTATCGATTGAAAATCGCTCGCTTGAGTTTCGTCGATGATCATTTTATTTGGTAACAAATTGTCCTTTCATTCAATAATCAAGCTGCAGCAGAAATGGTAAAGCTGATTCATCTAGCAGACTCGAAAGCGAGAAATAATAACTGTTTCGTAAAAAAAAAATCGTCGCTTCTAGATTGCTTCGAAATTGATTAGTGGCGGACTAATTCTGGAGATTTATAGCGCTCACTTTATGCGAGAGATAATTATTGATAGCTTAGGCAAAGTATTAGAGCTGGGATCCATGATGAATATTGTCTGCGTACAACATGCATTCGAGTGAGCTATGTATATCGATTAGCTTGACGCTTAATTTTGATGCGCATTGTTGAGAGCTGTTTTAGAATAGCCTATACAGACCGATGTATACAATAATATATCATTAGGGAGGCGGAAATATACGCATATATACGGAAACACGGGAAGCACGTATTCGATCGTAAGCGTAGCGTAAAAATTTCTTGAATGAGCGAGCAAAGGATGGATGCAGTCAGTCGATCGAATAACCATGTATATGTGCTGCCAAGTTCGCATTTTCTACCTTTATACACACTGCAACCGCGCTAGAGAGAGAGGGGGGGGGGGGAGAAAGAGAGAGAGAGGGAGAAGAGAGAGAATGGGTGCGCGTAAACGCCGAGAGCCGCTTCTCTCGCGCTATGCACTGTCCGCACGGGGCAGTTTTCCGGGTTAAACTCCGCGTAACGTGCTAATAGGCCAAGCTGATCCCGTTTACATACACATTCACGGAAAACGCTCAAAAGCATTTCAAGCGGCTTAATTCCGACTTTCCGATAAATCTCTCTGTTCGTCCTACAAGCTTTCGACTCCATGTATCCGCGCTAGTCGTCTACGCCAATTATATCGTCACGCACGTCGTGCATCATTGTAAAACCGCTTTGGTCAAATTTACGCTCATTTTCCTATGCAATAAGCGCGCAGTCGAGAATTACGAGAACCAGGCAGGAAAATCGATTTCTAGCACCTCAATGTAACAACACTGTGTTCAATTTGCAATGCAAAGATATGCATATATGAGACTGCATAGCTCGGATTACAACCACAGTATACGACGCTCCTCCTTGGTAAGAAATCCATTTCATAAAAGCTAAAACTGCTTACAAAGATAAAAAAGATTAAAGATTGAACTTCAAGATTCAGTGTTTATGGAGTTATTGTTATTCTTACGTCAAGAACTACGTTCATCTGGAGCATTGCAGAGGTACACTAGGTATTTGTAGATATTAGTCATAAGGATCAACATCAACATGCGATCAACCTCCCCATCTCTTTTAGAAGACTGAAAATTTTCACTTACCTATTGTTGTCTGCAACAACAGTCGATGTTGCATTTATTCGTGAAAAGAGAGTGATTTAAGCTCGGCCAGCTCGTGAAAACATAGCACGCAGTGCGCTATGTACGTGCTGCTGTCACGAGTACATCCGAGGGAAAGGTAATAGTAGCGACCACGTGTCGAGTGCACTATCCCTCTGTTCGTGATTGTGCGCGCGCACATGTGTACTTGCTGATGGGATTGCAGCTCGCGCGCGCAAAGATACATTGTGTGTTGTTACCAGACTAGAGCTAGCTAGCTGGCAGACTATTCACGCCAGTTTACTCGATTGCCAAAACTTTTGTTTCGCTTGATGCTGCCATTGCTCTCTTACCCTTTGTTTTCCATGATCGACGAACGAACGCGCTATTGCAGTTGACATTGTTGCGACTAACACACACAGCGATGTTATGCATATAAATATAGTACCGAACAATAAAAAATCTTGGAGAACACAAGTCGTTCACATCAAAATGCATCATAAGAGAATCTTCCCACGCCGATTCGCTACGAAAGCTCCGATTTTCTCGGAAAATATACTTTTAAGCTAGAAACTCAATAAACCCTCATTTATCTCTTAGATAATCATTCGTAATGTGATTAAATTTCTAAAATTCATCATCCTACGTGAGAATAACATGAGAAGTATGTTAGCGTTAAGTACAAAGGGAAACTCAACTTGTGTGCATACTAAAAGAAGTGTCAGTGAAAGCGGAGAGTGAAAAAATAAGAAAGTAAAGTTTTTGACAAAGTAATTAATAGACGAGGGCTAAAGCAATGGATCAATAAGCGACGTGATGCCGCAGGTGGAGCGTGCTGCATACGATGAGTAATCAAGGACGGGATTTCAAAAGCTTTCGATAGCAGCTGTCGTCGCAGGCCCGCCAAACCACCGACACGCTAATGGAGCAAAGCGATTGCGTTAATCGCGAGCACCCACGTTTCAATCACATGCGCGCGCGCGCACAGACTGCCCTCTCTCGCTCTCTACCGTCAAGCACGCTCGCTCTCCTTCACCATCGAGCCACGAGCCTCTCGCCTCTCGTCTCCCGCCCGCGCCTCTCGAACCTTACGGCTTTAAGGTTTCAGATCGCCAAACACCCCTTTTTCACGTGGCTCTATTCCCGTTATTTTATGCTCCGTTATTCACCACTTTTTTCGGGTCACCACTCGTTCTCACCTCCCAATTTCCGATTAACTACGATCATTATCAAATTCTTTGTATATTTTCGTGACGATAAACTTTGTCCGTTCTTTTCGTCCGCCTTCAATTCTCGCATCGATTGTCATAAAGCTCCTGATTCCAGCATTTCTTGCTCATCTGTCAAATAGGTGAAGCCTGGGCGAAATGGATCGGTCAAGGAACGTTC